AGGGCAGGGGGACACAGAGTCAGTGAACTGTCGCAGAGTGAAGAAACAAGAGCAGCTCCCATCACCTTTCTCATGCACCACAAAGAGACAGAGCAGATGGCAAATTAATCAGATGCCATCATGTCTGGCAGCTGGAAATGCACTTGGAGATCACAGTTGGAGGATGTTAGAAGTGCACTGGTTACAGGTGAATAGAAAGTATGGCACTGCAGACTTTTCTCATGAAATGCAGTGATCGTTAAAAAGGAGTAGTTAAAAAAAAAAGGAGTAGTTCATGGAGGATATGACCAGGGATTTTTATTTTTAATGTGTGAGATTTGAGTTATATTTTACAGATTTGGGAGAGGAAACAGCAGAGAGGGAGTGGTGAAACATATAAGGCAGGGTCTTTTACAAAACAAATAGGCAGCAGTCAATGAGCTTCACCTAGAAGCAGAAGGGAGTGGAGTGGAGTGGAGACCTCAGAGGTTAGTCTAGGAACCTCTTCTTCCTGCAGGAGAAGGCTGGAGGGGAGGTCTGCAGTGAAGCCCTAGGGGTAAAGAGTAGGTGGTAGATTGGAGAAGGTCTGAAGAAGTTAATTCAGTGCTATTGGAGGACGGATTGAACTGGAGCAGGTGGTTGAGGGAGGCAAAGAATGGAGGCAAGGAAAACTTCGTTTTTAGCTCAGTATACTGGGTGGGTGATGAAGCCACCAACTCAGATAGAAAATATCAAAGTAGAACTAGGTTTTAAGGGTTGTTGAAGAATTTATTTTGGAGAATATTGAGGTTTTGGTGCACGTGATGCATGAGGTGGGGATGTGTAAGTGAAAATCTGTATAAAGCTACAGGAGTGAACGATTTCATAGAGGAAGAACATATGAAGTGAGTCTGCATGAGCGTGCATGGTGAGGCTGAGGCAGTGAAGACCATAGACAAATAAAAAGTATGGCTCCATAGAAGCAATGAAGGGAAAAAGATAAAGTGTGTGGGCAGATGTTTCCGAATAGAAGAAAGAAACCAAATGTGAACTCACTCCATGACAAACCTTTGACTGGTTATTTTTATTCCAATTATTAAACGCCAATGGCAACTATTTTTCATGATACATTAGAAAGAAAATCTGCTAAAATTGCTTTCCCATCTTGTGAATGGTGTTTTGGGTAACAATTTTTTATATATTCATTTTCCAAGGGAAGTTTAATAGTGTAGAAGAAACCGAAGTAACTCAAATCCATGAACTGCTAAAAGTGCACTCTTAGAAAAATAACTGAATGCAATCTTACTAACTTCCAACTCTACTTTTCTCCATAATCAGAAGTATTTAAGGGCTATTTCAAAGAAAGAAACATAAATACAACAGGTAGAGACCAGAGGGAAAGAAGACTTTATCTTTCTAAGGAACAAATTCTTTCAGGGACATGTAGCCTGTTTTTATTCCTTTCAAGATAAGGCGTTTGCTCTTTAAAGAGTAGTTTCTTTTGCACCTGTGGTTCTTTGGCTCTGGGTTGAGAAAATATTTTGTGAAAGAGAATGATACTTGTTTGTTCCATCTTGGAGCAAAGAGAAGATTGTCACATCACCCCCCCGCCGCCGCCGCTACTTTTTATCACCCCCCCCCACCGCCGCCGCCACTACTTTTTTAAGAGTAGCACCTAAATCCTAAGTGCACTTCCATTTCTAAGGATCCCATTTGCATTAATAGTTCACTCTGGACGGCTTCTTTCACATACATACTTGGCAGGTGCAGCATCTCGTGTTTTACCTCTTTTTGATTGTGTTCCATTTTTGTTTGAATCTTTCTAATTAGTGATTCAGTTTTCCAGATATCGCAGGACATTTTTCCATCCATCCATGTTTTTTTTTTTTTAATCTCTTTGCCCCATAGTACACATAGAGAATTGAGAATGGGTAATTTTCTCATCTTCTTATCATTGCCCTTACAAGATTATTTTAATTCGGTCTTCTTTTCCTCATTGGTTCCACTCAGAAGATACTCCCAGGGCTGAATTTCAGAGTCATTTAGTGGTACGCTTAAAGACGCGTGCAAAGACCAGTTTCTAGGTATTTGTTTGGGAATGGTATAACCAGAGAATGAATTGAAATCACTGTTTCTGGAGGGATCAAAGAAATATTCCTTCAACACTCAAATTTTGTGTACTTGTGTATCTGTTGGTATCTTGGGTTGTTTTGGTTGACAGCAATCAACTTGGACTTTGAGTTAAGAGATATGTTCTTTGTTCAGACAATTTCTGATGTAGTGATTAGAGACAGACCAACCTCAGGGGAAATCTTGCTTGAGCTTCGTTTGAATTCCTTAAGACTCAATTTTCCTATCTTCAGAATAGGATGATAATACCTAATTGAGTGAGTTCCTGTATGCTGAGGAGCTGCCACACCACCCAATAACGTAGTATGTGCTCCATAAACACTAGCCACTCACACCCTCAGATTCATCGGCATCACCACCATCATCACTGTTCTGTTGAGTCATTTCCAAGACTTCCTTCAAGGTTTTTGGTCTGTGAGTGGTCTCCCCCAGCACCTTACTTCCATACTGGAATGGTTTTGATGAGGAATTTGTTTATCTGTTTGTTTTAGAAGTCGCTGGAGGTTTCTAAGGAGGGAATCCAGTAACTTAGAAGTCTATCCACAGCTGTACCTTTTTTCTTCTGGATTTGAACTAGATCTACCACTTACCTATTACTGTATAAGAAACTACTCAAAACTTAGCAGCTTAATACAACCAACATGTATTATCTTAAGGTTACTCTGGGTCGGGAATTCAAGACCATCTTATCTGAGTGGCTCTGGCTCATGATCTGTCATGAGTGTCAGCCGGGGCTGCACCATCTGAAGGCTTGACTGGGGATGAAGACTCTGTGTGCAAGACTCCCCTCATGTGGCTATGGGCAAGACGCTTCAGCTTCTTGTGGGCTGTTGGTGATCTTATGGGGAGGAACCGTGGATGCTTACCCCGTGGGTCTCTACTTAGGGCTGCTTTGAAGTCCTCACAGCATGGCCACTGTCTTGATCTGAAGGAGAACCAGCAGGAAGCCACAACACCATTTACAACCTGGTCTCAAAAGTTTCACACCATCATTTCTGCCATATTTCACTCAATGGAGTCCCTTGGAATTAGGCTCCACCCTTCTTTTCCCTCCCCCTCCTCCTTTTTGCCTCCACTCCTAACCCTCCTCATCCTTTTGCTTTCTCCTGTGCCCTTGCTTTACAGCACTTTCTTAGCAAACAAAGGTCACCTTTTGCCTGCCTGGGCCTATCATGAAAATGGAGGGAGATAAACAGGATGAACAGGTGCTATGGGAAGAGAGTTTAGGCACACCGTGTAGCACAGCACCATGTGCCATGACTGGAGAAATGCAGTGTGTCTGTCGAGCTTCTATTCTTGCATCTAAGGAAGCGGTCCAGCTCAGAGGCAGTTTAGTCAAAGCACAGGGCCCTCGGATGGACGCTGTCTGAGCAGTAATCTGTTTAGGATGCAGCCCTCCCTTCTTCTTTGGGGAAGCAGTAGAAGGCATCACTTCAGAAATAGCAGAGCTAGGTGTGCATGCTCCTTATTGGATTGCCGTGGCAGGTCCATGAAGTTCTCCTTCACAATTTTGTTGTTTACTGGTTATTTACTTATAAGGAAAGCAGCATTCGGACACATTTCCCTCATCAGATGCCCACTCACATCCCTCCAGCAGGCCCGGCCCCATATTTCTGGTTCAGGAGTCTCAAGATCTTTAGAAGCAAAGGTCTTTGGAACTTAAAAGCTGATGTTTATTTTTGTATCTGAATTCCTTTTCTACAATAACTGTGATCCACTATGATTACTCTAAGTGAATCCAGGGACTCCGACTAGGCAGGGAGTCACTGAGCTTAGACACTCCTGCCTGTTCTCTTTCTCAGGCTCGCTCCATCATCAGCACCCCAATGCATTCCTCCATTCCACATGCTTCACCCTGGATCTGTCTTCCTTGTCCTTACCAATTACCTTTGGGAAGGTGGTTTTAAATGCTGGCCACTGAAAATTTACCATTTATGGATTAGAGAATCTTCTCCTGCAGGCTCAAGAGTTTTAAGAGAGGCTCCAGTTTGGGGGTTATAGGAGTTTGGAAACAGAGTTTTTTGTTTGTTATCTTAGTTTTAAAAGCCATGCTCCCCCAAAATAAATTTAATTTAATTTATAATAATTTATTTTAATAATTAATTTTTTAATTAATTTTTAATTTTAATTTAATTTAATTTTAAAAAGCTATGCTCCCTCTTGCAATGAGTTCTTAGTTTATTGACCACTCTCTGTAGTTAAAAGATGCATATTCCATTGTACAGAAGGACAGGAGTTTGCCCAGTTAAGGCCATCTTGGTTTCAGTATTCACTGAGCATGCACAATGGGATTTGCCATAATTTACAAGGAATGCCCACAGTACGTGGGTCTTATGGTCCTGTTGGGTCTAGCTTACTGTGTGACAGTCTCTGGTCATGTCCTCACTCATCCTGTGCTACATGTCATTGAGTTCGAAATCTGTGCCCCTGATTTACACAAACCAGCTAGCTATGAGGATGATATCAAGCTTCTGACTGCCCCTTTTTTTTTTTGTAATTTTTTTTAATTTTTATTTATTTATGATAGTCACAGAGAGAGAGAGAGAGAGGCAGAGACACAGGCAGAGGGAGAAGCAGGCTCCATGCCCGTCGGGAGCCCGACGTGGGATTCAATCCCGGGTCTCCAGGATCGCGCCCTGGGCCAAAGGCAGGCACCAAACCGCTGCGCCACCCAGGGATCCCTCTCTGACTCCCCTCTAAACAATGTACAAATGAAGAAAATAAAATAAAGAGATATGCAAATTAACTTTCTAAAGTAAATTAAAGACTCTGCCTCTAGGTCTCCTGATTAACTACTTTTCCTCTACAGATGTTTTTTAGGGTAATTTGAAAAATATCATGGTCACAGCCTTTATCTCAATGCTTGCTTCTGTCTTATTTTTTATTTTTATTTTTTGTCTTGTCTGTTTCAGATATACCAACACTCCTACACTGGATATTATGTCCTGAGCAAAATTCCTCATGGGTAAGATTGTTCTTTCATTTTCTTTTAATGAGAAATATTCAGAACAAAAAAAGAGTAGAACACGGAGTAGTTGCTTGAGTCATAGAATTAAGGGCAAGAAATGGGGCAGCTTGATTTTGACAGTGAAGTGTCCTGATGTTGTGAGGCTTCCATGGCTCTTCTTTGGCTAACTGTATCCAGGGTCCAAGGAGGTCCCATGGGTCCAGTCTCTTGCCCATGTATGAAGCCCCCATCTCCTGTTCTGGTTCCCATGGTTTACCCTCAAGGTTCTGCAGGGCAGGACTTTCCCCTGGTTCTCTGTAATCAGCTGTGGCCCTTCCAGGCGTGGTGGATAGCCCTAGGACTCCCACAGGGTCTGGTTATGTACATAATAGAGTGGCACCCCTAAGCTCACCTGGTCTCTCAAAAATGCATGATTTGGGACCCAAAACTGTATGTGGGAAGGAAACATGAGAGTATGCACGATTTTCATAAGGTTTTCAGTGCTGGGTAGATGTACCCACACACAACACAGAGATGTGTTATCAGAAGCTCATCTCCAGAGTCCAAAGACAGTAAAGACACTGGTTAAAGTTTGCTGAAGCCATTTATTGAGTCAGACACATGCAGGAACAGCTGCAGATCTAGGAATGAGAGGCAGGGATGGATGGCCTTCTGTTTCCCTGCCATCCCCTCCTTCCCCCTCCCACCACCCCTCCCCCACTCCCAGCCTCCTGGTTCTGCTCCACACCTCTGGGACTTCTTTCACGGTACTTTGGAAGGGTGAGGGGCTCAGGAAATGTTCAGAGAAATCGAATCGTGATGCTGCCAGTGTTGCATGGGTTGCCTATGGATATTTGAGGGAAGCGTCCTCCTTTTCCTGAATTCAAACAAGCAGCAGGAATTGCTGAAGAGTGTTGTTTCATAGGCGAGCATGAACTGACGTGAATGTTTATGACTGCGGCTGGCTGTTTTCTAGGAGAAAGATAGAAATCTGGAATTCATTTGGCCTTCGGACAAAGGAAAGATGTATGTAGATATGCAGCAACATGAGATTAACAGTTTCTGTTAGACATGTAGACAAATCAAGTTCAAAGAAACGGAAGATGAACCACTGTGGTAAAAATTAAGTATCCATAGGAATTTTTCATATAAAACGTATTTTATATATAAACTCAGATGGTTTCCACTAAGGAGGAATTATTCTATTATTTTTTCAAGTAGATCTGCATCTTCAAAAGTCATGGCAGGCAGGAGTATGATTATGCCTTGAGATTTCTGTAGCCCTTGTAGGACAATGGAATGTGTTATAGATGATAGATATTTTGTTCCATCTTCTATAAATTTCTAAAACTCAAAACCTAAAAGCATCTTATGCTTAATATATCATGTTAAAACTTTACTGGATCAGTCAGAATTTAGAAGAAGTAGATTGGGACTACCTGAGTCTGCCAACCCAGGTGCAAACCAGAGGGTGAGATGGTCTATGTTGACAACCTAATTTTAGTGATGATGATAAGGATGAGGATGATCCTCCAGAGAGGGTATCAACAGATAATAGGCTCCTTTCGGTATGTTAAAAATAATCTCAGTAATAATAATTGCCATCATTTATAGATGGACTTTCACACGCCTTTACCCCAACACAATAGCCTGCAAGAAAAGCATTCTGACCCCTACTTACAGTGAGAGCTGTAAGGCGTAACTGCCCAGCATCCCCCAGCTCGTGTCAAGTTGAGCTGGGATCCCAGGGCCAGCCTGGCTGACCTTGAACCCCAAGCTATCAAAGCAACCCCCTTGAGTTATGTGATAGCTGTTAATATCAGATTTTTAGTGGTGTTACTTTATTTCTTTTCTGAGAACTTTTATATGATTAAAAGGTGTAGCAGATTACTTGTTACGTTTACTGGAAAAGAACCTCTGGGGGATAAAAAGGTCTATGGCCCATCCCGTCACCATGGGAATTGACACAGCATCACCAAAACTGGCATTGCTCGACCACCCACCTCTTCCTCTTTGTCACAAGATCATTTATGGAAAATAAATCAATTAATTTCATATTTTGTCAACATCTTCTCTGTGTTAATGAGATAGGGGATAAGCCTTCAGGCCTCAAGTTTTCACTGCTCCTGGGATGCCTCAAGTGGTCACTTCTGCAAGTGCTCCACCAGATGGCAGGAGAAGGACGCAGCCCACATTTTCAGGCTTATGCTCTATGTAGATTTGGGGTAGAGAGGAAAGCACAATTGTATTTTTAAAACAAAAATAAGTCTGTGTTAAATTATTGGGATTTACATTACTTATACAAAAAATGAGGAGATGTCCTTGGTGCTTCTGAAAACATAGATCTGTGCATTTCTCACATGTTCTCACTTCTCTGTCCTCGCTTCTCCCGTGAAGACTTTGCAGTAAGCCGGAGGCCATGCGAACTGTGGAATGGGATTATTTGTCATTTATAACGTGAATTTTGTCTTGGCTTCAGGCTTTCCAACTAGTCACGGAGAAGGGTCGAATTAATTTTTCAGTGCATCTGAATTCTGGTTTCCTTCCTTTTTGCCAGTGGCAGAAGAATTGGGGGAGGATATACCCTTTCTACTGTGTCATTCACAGGCCAGAAAGAGGCCCTCCCTGTCCTGTGTGCTTACTTCGTCCTTCACAGTTTGGGCCTCTGCCCATGGCGGGAGCCCAGCTCAGTCCTTCTGCATGAACTGGCTGGGGTCGTGATGGGAACCCAAGGCAGCAGGGTTTTCATCTATGAAAATGTCTAAAACATTTGGGAGAATTTGTCTGATTTCCATAAACTAAATGTTCAAAAATGGTATTCTTAAAAGACACGTATCTTTTACACAAATCTGTTTGTTAAGCCGGATCTAAAGCTAGTTATTCTTAACATAAAATGTTTCACAAGTTTTTACATTAGAAAGTCAGCAAAATAAAATAATATTCTGCAATAGAGAGTATAGCCTGCTAAACATTTTCTTTTTTTATATATAAATTTATTTTTTATTGGTGTTCAATTTGCCAACATATAGAATAACACCCAGTGCTCATCCCGTCAAGTGCCCCCCTCAGTGCCTGTCACCCAGTCACCCCCACCCCCCGCCCACCTCCCCTTCCACCACCCCTAGTTCGTTTCCCAGAGTTGGGAGTCTCTCATGTTCTGTCTCCCTTTTTGATATTTCCCACTCATTTTTTCTCCTTTCCCCCATTCCCTTTTACTATTTTTATATTCCCCAAATGAATGAGACCATACAATGTTTGTCCTTCTCTGATTGACTTATTTCACTCAGCATAATATCCTCCAGTTCCATCCATGTCGAAGCAAATGGTGGGTGTTTGTCGTTTCTAATGGCTGAGTAATATTCCATTGTATACATAGACCACATCTTCTTTATCCATTCGTCTTTCAATGGACACCGAGGCTCCTTCCACAGTTTGGCTATTGCAAATAGCCAATAGGCCAATAGGCTATGTGGCTATTCCACAGCAGCACATTCCTGCTGTAAACATCGGGGTACAGGTGTCCCTGCGTGCTAAACATTTTCTATCAAGGAAATAGAAGTGTTTTCATAGAAGTATTTTTGTAAACTTGGCTGTTTCTTGGCATTTTTCTGACATGACCTTTTTCTGGAATTAAATTCTTTTTGGCTTGAGTACTTTTAAAATATATATATATATATATATTTCAGTATGATTACAATCTCTCATATTTATTAGGATCATCCTGAAAATCATATGGACTGGTGAAAATTATTCCTTTTATGACATAAATCAATTTTAAGGAAAATCTGGCATATCTCTTAAGTGGGTGGCATTGGCATTTTGGGGTTTGGCAAACAAAGTAATAATAAACACGAAGAAACATTTGAAGATATTTTTATTTACATGCCAGGCCACCTTCTAATGGACATTGTTACCCTAAGTTAGCTTATTTATTGGTATTTTTCAGGCATCAAGCATAATTATACAAAAATTGAACTCCTTTGGAATTCTAATTGACTTATGAAGTCACATTCTATATCTGTGCAAATTATAAACTGGGACATAGATCCTTCTGCCCAGAATTACTCTCTAACTTTATAGCTGGGATGCAAATGAGCATTCCATTGATTTAGAAAGTAGATAACTGGGCCGATCATGCACACACAGTACCCAGCACCTTGCCAACAGCATAATGGAAGACTTAAGAACGGAAGCCCTGTGGCCACAGAGACCTAAATCTGAATCCTCAGTCCACTGCCAACCTTGACAGTTGTACTTCTACAGATCTCAGTTTCCATATTTTATTTTTTTTTTAGTTTCCATATTTTAAAAAAAGATGATAATGCTAGTGCTCACCTCATTGGCACATTATAAGAATTAAGCGAAGTAAAAAAAAAAAGAATTAAGCGAAATAATATATGCAAAATGCACGGCAGAGAATTTCCTCCTAGTGAACATTTGGGTATGCTATTAATATTGTAGTATGAATCCATATGTATCTGTAGTCTCTTGATTAAATATTACTAGACTTTACTTTCTAGCCAGCTGAAATCCTTTTTGTTACAGGAGAGGAATGATACGTCCCTATAAGAATACAATTTTCAAGACTTGTTCAATGACAGTTGGATAATTATAATGCTCCTGTGATGTTTCAGTGTCTCTCTTAAAAGAGATGTCTGTAGCCTCAAGTATCTATAATTCTCAGTGCTCAGTACATTCTTTCTTGTGCCATCTCAATCAGACTTGCCACAATTAATGTTTAAGGCATTCTTGTTTTGCCTCCAGTGGAAGCAAACCTGACGATACAAGTCAATAAGTATTTATTGAGTTGCTCTGCGAGTAACAAAAGCATGGTTGCCATCCTTACAAAGTTCAAAATCCTGTTGAAAAGAAAAGACGCAGACTCTGTAACAATATATAATCAAGTGGCCCGAGTGAGTATTGTAAACACTGAATGCAGAAGAGATAGTTGTGGGCATCAGGTCTCATAAAGGAAGCCCGCTGCAGCTGAGTCTCGGAATTGAACGAGTTATTTTTAA